CTCCCCATCTCTCTCTCACCCCCCATCCCCCCCCCCCCCATCTCTCCTCCATCTATCAAGACACGTGCAAGCGCCGTCATGTCTCTTCCTCTGTTTTTCTTCTCTTGTGCTTCTCTCGTTTATCACTTTCTCCTCTCTTCATTTTTCCTGCTTTTTTCTTCATCTTGATTACTATCTTCGTCATTATCAGCAATTGGTTCTTTGGCAATATCGCTTTATGCTCACATTTCATTCAGTTTTTTAATTCATAAATTTTTGTCAGTCATTTTCGTTCGTTTTTTTTTTACTTGCTGTTTTTGTCTATTATTTATTATTCCCGATGTCATTTAATTATCATTTTCGTTTAGCATATATTCATCATGCTTGTTCTTTATTCCTCAATTATCTTCGTTTGTTTTCTATTCGTTTCTTTTCGTTCGTTTCGTTCTTTTCCCCATTTTCGTTCAATCCTTTTATAAAACATATTCGTTCGTTATTTCATTAAGATTTGCAAACCATTATCCGTTTATTAATTTATTCGCAATTACTCCGTTATTCCTACATCATTTTCTCTCCGTTAGTCAATATTCACTTCTACAGTATTTCCTAGAAATCACTCTTTATCAAGTCGCTTTCCTATTGTTCATTAGTCTATTCATTACTTCCTTCGTTAATTCATTTACTAACTATTCCTTCTTTATCATCCTCTCCTATTTCCCCTTTCCGGACGTCGCTCGCACTCAAAAGACGGCGCTTAAGCATCAGTTAAGTGCGTTTCGTGAATTCGTGGCTCGCGCTGAAATTTCTCTGACGCTCGAGGAGGACGGAGGCGAAAGGAGGGAAGGGAATTGTCGATAAATCTTGGGAAGTGGCAGATAAAGAAGATAATGCGAGCCCGAGATGGAGAGAGAGAGAGAAATTTGAAGAGAGAGGGGTCGGTGATGGGAACGATGATGTGCAAGAGGAAAAGGAAGAGAGAGAGAGAGAGAGAGAGAGAGAGAGAGAGAGAGAGAGAGAGAGAGAGAGAGAGAGAGAGAGAGAGAGGAGAGAGAGAGAGAGAGAGAGAGAGGGAAAGTAAGGAGAGGGAGGGGGAAAGAGGGGAAAAGAGGGAGCGAAGGTATATAAAGGAAGAAACAGAAAGAGAAAGAGGGATAGATAAATAGAAAGATAGATAGATAGAACGAGAGAGCGAGAGAGAGAGCCTGAGCATTCATCGACACAAAAACCACTGGCGGCAACCTCCATCCACCCCAGTTACCTTCACCGAAAACCCGGCTCCACGCTTTCGCTACATGTCAATAAACGTTTTTTTTTTTTTAATAATCTCTCTCCCACTCCTTCAGAAAGTAAGTAAATAAAAAAGAAAAAAAAAATGGATGGAACATTTTTCCTCAATAAAGAAGCACAAGCGTGAAGTATCTTGAGACTATCACTATCACCGTAATAGCTGTTATCACGGTGCTTTTAACGAAATACTTTTAATAATAATTAATTCCTCAATAAACGAAAAAAAATCGTTCAACGAATACTGAAGCACTCAGTCGAAAACATTAAATATTTACGAATGACTCTTATCATCTCCATGAAAGTTGTAACGGTGCTTTTAACGACCTAAATTAACGATAATCATTCTAAATATCATGCAGACCTAAATGCATTATTGCAAAGACATCTGTTCGCGTATCTCTGTCCTCTGTATAGTGTTGCACGTTGAAGGATGGAGCGGATATTAATGGATAAAATGCACTAAAACTTCTCCACGAAATAAAACTCTACGAAATAAAAACAATGATATGGATGATAATGATGATTAACTTCCAACAACCATCAACGGTGATGATAATGGTAATGAAGCAATGATAATGATTTTCATGATCCTATAAATAAAACTATTCCACTTTCTCCCTCATTTCCAGCGAAGAATATATAAATATTTTTTTTTCTCCCGACCCTTCAGCTTTCCTAATCAGCCCGACGCATAAAACCTTGTCATTAGTGAGACAAAAGGGAGTCCACAATGATAAAAAATTCCTCCGTCGTCGAAAATTACCGTAATTATATAAAAATAGCAAATGGTGATAATGCAGTAGCAAAGATCTAACGAGAAATTGCGAACATGATGAAGATGATAATAATAACAATAATAATAATAAGAAGAAGAATTACAACAACAAGAACAACTACAATAATAATAACAACAATAATGATAATGATAATAATAATAATAATAATAATAATAATAATAATAATAATAATAATAATAATAATAATAACAATAATAGTAATAACAATAACGATAACAAACCATGCATATGCAATCACATCCACGAACAAAAAATAGAAAAATAAATAAATAAAGAAATAACCAAAGAAACAAAAAACATACGAAATAAAAACAATAAAACCCCTAAATAAAAAAACAAGAAAATAAAAAACAACAATAAAAAAAAAACAATTAAAAAAACGGCAAGCACAGTAGCAACATCAATCTAGCAACTACAGCACTGAATCCCCCCCCCCT